GCTCAGAAAGCCTTTGAGGTCGCCGAGGTGGCCGACAGCATCGCCGACGGCGGTCATGATGACCTTTCCGTGCTTGCGCACCTGAGCGGACCCGGGGCTCAGGTCACCCCAGTGGGAGAAGTAGGTCTTGGTCTGGGGGTAGACGACGAGCATCCTGGGGAAGAAAGGAGGTAACACACATAAACACATCAGTTAGCAAATATGTATTTTGATGTAGCTTATACACCAGTATAGATTGCATTAACAGTCAAACTGTTATCCCCCGAGTACGGACTTTATTTATTCCATATCCAATTCAGAGTTTATATCTCGAAAACGATAGCCTAAACATTAAAAGAGTTCCAATAAAGGTATCCTGCATAGTATTTATTTTTAATCGCACTAATGACAAAATGAGGTCACATTTATATTTCGTTGCAAGTATTTCAATTTTACGCATGTTATTGCGAGCGCGCACGTTATTAAAGAGCGGAACTGAGTTACCTGGACAGAGCCTCATGGCCGATCGTGTCCACCTTAGCAGAGGCTTTGGCCCAGATAGCCTGGACGTGCTGCTTGTCTTTATCGGAGAGACTCATCGCTGCGTCTGTTCAGTCTTTTCCTCCTGTACTGGAACAGAACCTGCGGCGCACAGACAGCGGGGGCTCTTTATACGGTGCCCGCTACGCACACCCACCCCGATAAACACTCCCCCGAACCCCGCCCCCGAATGCAGCTCGCTGGCCGTGTATGCAACAGTTTGGGCTCTCTCCAAAAATACATCTTTCCAATTTTCGGGGCTCTCGACAAACAACAGATAATTTTCGAGGAGGGGTGATTATCAGCCCTGCACATATTAGTCCCCGCTATGTGTGTAATTCTCTGATATGTACTATAAAATATGACATGCAACGTATTGCTACTGTATGTCTCACCGAAATTGTGAATTAGGAATTAACCGCACAAATTAAAGTTAAATTCACACATGTATAAAGCACAACTTGATTTTTTCCAGCTTAATTAATACATAAGCAAAGCTGAGTGACAGGCATTTTTTAAATTAGTATAAAAGCTGTTTTCCTCCTTAGGTGAGCGTGTCAGATTTAGTAAGCGATTTACTAATAGGGATCGCCTGTTTTCTCGACCACACCGCTACCTTCACCTACGAAATGTTGAAACTTTGACATTGAACTGTCAATTGGAGGGGGGAGTGTTGTTTAATAGTTTATCAACTATAGCTTCAAAAAAAGCTTTTGAAGTCTTCGCAAAAGTCAGGTCCTGTGCGTGAAATATAAACACCTGAAGAAGGCTCCACGGCCGAAACGTTGTGTTCTCTTTCTTCCTTTTTTCAGCATGGAATAAACCTATTACTTGTTCCTTTGCAGCCTACGCATGCTGACGCAGCTCCCCACCTGAACAACTATAAACGCGCAGATGGCGTTTCAGGGTAGTCGGCTCGCGAATTAGAGCACCTTCTCTCGAAACGACCACCTCTAGCTGAAAGGTCCTCAGTTTTAACCAGGGTTACGGTGATCGTTGTCAAGTGCGCGATCGTGGAAAGAGCCGTTGTCGTTTTTGTTGTGGTGGTGGTGCGAACGACAGAAAAAGACGGTGAAATTAAGACGTCCCAAGCTCAGGTGAAAGATTCACAGCAGTACAGAGCCACTTAGGAGGCGCACAGCCTGTTCTGCATAGAGCACTGCCCGGGTTCCTGCGGGCTCTGCTCGGCCACAGGCGATTGCTTTGTGGGGAGGAGATCAAATTCAGCGCGCAGCCTTGTTTCCTCAGCCTGCACAGCTTTTGTGTGGTCTTCCAGACTAGTTGTAGAGCCTACGGACGGTGACCACTAGTGTAAGAGACCCCAGCGAAAACCTCGAGAATGGGTATTGGATCCACTTTAGTGTAATTACAACACACGTTACACCATATCAAATATGAGGTGTGTACCAGTCTCGAAAACGCATTGGGAGTTTGCGAAGAACACGCACCCGAATATGCACCATTTATTGGGCACGTTTTATTATTTTTTCCATCATAATCCATAAATATTCTTACTAAAACCATTACCGACTGAGCATACGGAGGAGCTGGCTGAGAACCAGGTTGAGTTGGAAGGGTGACGGGCGAGACCCGCAAAATGAAGTGGCCCTTCAGCGGAAGAGCTGAAGCTCTTGAATAACCGAGCTGGTTTTGATTTACCCCGGCCTGCTGCTGCAGAGTGTTTCTGCTAATGCAACTGTACAACGATGTCCCCCAAGCATTTTTATAGACTATTCTTTATTTAGAATCACAAAGAAATAATCACCAAAACGTTTTCGTATAATGCTCATAGATTTATTAGATCTTCATTTTATCATACAAGCAGTTATTTCTTCTCACACAGGAGATCCACAGGGAGACGGCTCGGTTTCGCGGCTGTGGTTCCGGCGAGAGTCTGGACCCCCGCGGTCTCGTCTGTGGCTCTAGTGGTACTGCTTGCGCAGGGCGGCGATGACCACGTCCAGGAA